GGAAAGAGAATATGCTCTTCAGAAGGGAATGACATTCCAAGATAATTCTTATAAACAAACCTCTTACTGAAGTCTCAGATAGCTTTCCAGAGGAACAATCACAAAACAGGTAGAGATCATTTATACAACTTTAAAGGACTCATTTATGTTACAATACCCTCCTCAAATATAAACACAAATATAAACGTGCTTTTAAAAGTGAGATCTTCTTGATCAAACATTTTCTTGCCACTACACTCAGCTACTAGCAGCATTTGGATGCAAAGGTTTAACTCGTGCTAATCGGGACAAGCCAAGGCGGAGACTCTGAGTTGGAGACTTCACAGACACTCTTGCCAGTGGGCTACGGCTGCTGCTTCCAGACACCGCTGCAAAAAGACAGATCACCTGATGCTGAAAACGTCAGAAATCTCGTAACAAAGGTCAGTTTATAAAACATTAGAGGCCAAAAAAAGGAGTTAAGCATTATTCTGCTATGCAGGTTCTATTAAGTTACATATTAGATCAAAAGAATGGAAAGTACTAAAGAGCAGAAAATATACAGCATTTGCATATTTTCAAACATCCTCAGAGGCCAAGGTAACGACACCACAACTTTAAATGTGAAAGCTAAATAGGAAAGTTGGGAGCAAAGAACACTGACTGTAAAGACATAAAAAAATGAATGGAATTATAATTTCTAAAGTAGTAGCAAAATCTAACGCATTTTTACAAAATTCTGCAACTTTTACAAGTACTCCTTACAGAATCTATTTTTTCAAATATCACATGACTTTAAATATGACAAATACCATTTTTCTTTATTTATGCTAGTTTCATTTATGCTACCACTCTAATACAGCCATCATTTCCAACGAGTATTAAATTTCAGAATTTATCCACATGTATGTTCGTAGCTGATCATGATTTTAGCCGTAATAAGTACAAGTGTGTGTACTTTTTTCATACAAAGGTTTTATGAACATTGCCATGTTTCCAGCCATCTGATTTATCATTCTTAGCTGCACATACGTGCCCCATATTGATCAAATTCCTACAACAAACTTCTGGGTTGTTCCTAGTTGTTCACCACTTTCCTATAAATGGCTATAAAGAAATCACTTCCTACTGACCACTTACTACTTTTCCTTCTTTTGAATTCTTTTTAAGGATAAATTCCCAAGATTAGGTCCTAAGTCAAAAGATCGATTTATTTTTATGGCTCCTGTCAAGCTGTCCTGTAAAGGGATTATAAATTTATAATAAAGAATTATAGCTGCTACCCCACAACCCAGAGTGCACTGGTTGATACAGTTTATTATTTTCTAGTTTGAGAGGTATAAAACAGTATTTTAGTATTTTAATTTACATTTCCGTGATTACCAGCGAGGCTGCAATTCTTTGCGTATTGGTTTCTAGTTGTACTTCTTGGGGGCAGTGGTATGTTATGTCCTTGGCTCATTTTCCCATTGCAATCTTGCTGGTCTTCTCACATTCGTATAAGACAGGAGGCTAGCTGGCAACCTGAGGGTCAAATCCTGCTCTCAGATATACTGTTTGGTCCACATGGTGTTTTCAAAAGTCCACTTTTAAGAACTAGGAGATTTCACACTAAAATCTGTACTTCTGGCTTCTCTTGAAAAACTCAGACGTGGAAATACGAGGCCCATAATCCTGCATGTTAACAACCAGGTGGAGCAGAGGAACGGCGGCTTCCTTCCAGAGGGCACGCGCTCTCGAGGGCAGCAACGCCCACTCACTCACGCTTCCTCCCCAGGCCCAATTCCCTCACCTCTGTCACCTGCCTGACCCTTCCCCACAATGAATTTATAAGCACTTCGTGTTTTATGACGTGCCTCTTTACCCATCAATCCATTATTTCTTTTTTATCTTTTTGCTTATGCTACCTTCAAATTTCTACAGTCATTATATCAATACTTTTAGAATTCTTTTGTTGCGGAATCACTAATTATTCTCAGAAGAAATACACTAAGGATTATCCTCGAACTGACAGAGCTTCATTATTCCAATAACTAATCTCCCGGGACTCGCCTGGTGGCACAGTGGTTTAGAATCCGCCTGCCAATGCAGGAGACACGGGTTCGAGCCCTGGTCCAGGAAGATCCCACATGCCGCAGAGCGGCTAAGTCCGTGTGCCACAACTACTGAGCCTGCGCTCTAGAACCCGCGAGCCACAACTCCTGAGCCCACATGCTGCAACTACTGAAGCCCGCGTGCCGAGAGCCCACACTCTGCAACAAGAGAAGCCACCACGATGAGAAGCCTGCGCACCTCAACAAAGAGTAGCCCCCGCTCACCGCAACTAGAGAAAGCCCGTGCGCAGCAACAAAGACCCAACACAGCCAAAAAACTTTTTTTAAATAAAATAAAAATAAATTTAAAAAATAATATGAGGAAGTGCGCATATGTAACATTTACAGCTAAGAAAAAACAAATCTACTCGTGGTAATTTTCCAAGCCCCTGCCCTTGAGCAGTAAATAAATATACCGTACCTGGTGGGACCCACTTAGGTCTCTTGCTTTCAGCTGGAGGACTTCGTGTTTGTAACGGCTTCCTAGTGGCCTCTGAAGAAGGAGAAACCTTTTTCGATGAGGGCCAAGATTCTGACTTGACAGCAGCAGGAGCAGAATCTAGTGAAATCACTTATTTGAAAAATATACATAAAAAAGGGGTCACGAGGAAGATAAAGTCTAGCATGTATGTGTGAAAATTACCAAGTTACATAAGCTTATAAGAATTAAAGAAGCAGAGTCATAAATTTGAAAAACTCACTAATCCACACTTATTGAGAGTCTAAGAACTGCCATCTTTTATGAGCATTACATGCTAGGAAGTATGGTAAGCATATCGTGCACGTTACCTCTAACCCTTAGAGCAGCGCCGATACAGAAGTGACTATCCCTACCAGCAGTTAAGGAAACAGAGAGGTTAAACAATCTGCCTGTAGCTTGTGAGCTAGTAAGTGTCTGAGTCCAGAGTCCACCCTTGTAATCATCACACAATAGTGTCTCATCAGAATATGTCAGTGAGACATTTTATTAGGCTCTAGGAATTTATGGTCCACTCACTAGACTCTAGTAGAAAGGGCAGAAAAGTACAGAGGTGCACACAGTGCAATGTGGTGAGAGAGACGACAGACTCTAGAGGTGGTCACGGGCCAGGGAACCTACACGTAGGAGCATCTTGCCGAGGGCAGTGTAAACGCAGACCACCTAGACGGCTCTACGGTAACCCAGGTGAGAGGGGATCAGGGCCTGAACTAAGGGGGAGAAAGGAGGGAAAACAGCAGAGTGCATGGCTTTTAGTAATTAGAAGGGGGAGGCGTGCTGGAGATGAGGGGATAGTCACGATCGGCAAGTTCCTGTCAGGAACACACCATCTGATGGCGCCGTCTACCCAGAGAATGAACACAGAATGGAGTGGGTTTGGGGGTTTTGCTTGTTTGTTTTTGATGGAGGGAGGAGAAGCAGAGTACAAATTCACTTTCGGATAATGCTTTGCTTCGAGACACCTAAGTGGCATCTAAGCGCATGTGCATATGAACATTTTCACTGTACCCTCTTCTTAACGTTAACATCGACATTCTCTAGGTCAGCCGCATCCCACAGACTTTTCTGCCGTGATGGGAACATTCTGTATTCCGTGCTGTCCAATACGGTAGCCACAAGCCACATACAGTTAGTGAGCACTTGAAATGTGGTTAGCAAAACCAAGGAACTGACTTTTAAATTTTATCTAATTTTAATTAATTTAAATATGATAGAGCTACTTTGGCTAGTGGCTACCATATTGGACACCATAGCTCTTGCAATTTTCTCTACTCAGGGAAAAATTATAACACCTGCCAGGTCAGAGATGCTTAGAGGTTATCAGTACATTATTAGTGGGACTAGAAATATAATCCATCTTTCCAAATTCTTAATCTCATTATTTAGCTGTTAAACTTTACTTCTAATATTACAGAGGAAATTTTCTTGGGAAGCAACTTGCTCCAGGGTATATGGAAGACTTTAAGCAGCAAACTCCAACCTGGAAACTGAAATTTTATCTTTAGTTTTTAGAATGCTTTGGTGAGAAAGCATAAACAAACATCTGAAGAAAATATGAAATATATTCATGTTAGGTTTTTTTTCCTGTTGCCAATGACTTTTTCCTATCAGTTTGTGGTAGGCGGTCCCTTAAAGAGACCTGTCTCCTAATTCCCAGAAAGTGTGCACATGTTACCTTACACAGCAAAGGGACTTAGCAGGTGTGACTAAATTAAGGATCTAGAGATGGGGAGATTACCCTGAATTATCCGATGGCCCCAGTGTACTCACAAGGGTGCTTATAAGTGAGAGTGAGAAGTAGGAGAACGAGAGTTATGTGATGGCTCTCAAGGGAGTGGACCACCCGTCAGAGAGCAGGCGGCCTCTAGAAGCTAGAAAAGGCAGGAAAGGGGGCTCTTCTCCCCTTGAGCTTCCACAGAGGAACAGAGCTCTGCCAGCAGCTTGATTTTAGCCGAGTGAGGAAAATTTTGAACCTATGACCTGCAGAACGGTAAAGTAATACATTTGTGTTGATTTAAGCCACTAAATTTGTGATAAATTTTTACAGCAGCAATTGGAAACTAATACACAGCTTTATCTCTAAAACCCCCTACATTTAAAATCTAATTTCTGGAAACCCGATGAATTTGCCAATTGCAAAAAACAAAACACCAATTAAAGCCTGGCTAGTTGAGAATACAGTGGTGGGCGGAATACGACTCAATCAGTACTTAGTTCTCATTTCTTAGTTAAGTACTCAGCACCATGCTATTTAAGGTGAGAGCAACGCCCACCCTTAATGAATGGGGTCTGAATAATGGAAAGTTTAGTTTCAAACAGTACATATATTAAACAACCAAGACATAAAAATATCTATCAATAAGTAAAACAAAGCAGGTTAAAGGAAGTTATATTTTACAATAATCTAATGTATATTATGAACTCAAAAATATCCTAACTTCTTTTACACAAGAAACAAATATTCCACATTCAAGTCTTCACAAATTCCAAAAGTTTTATTGTAAAACTGGTTTCTCCTAACTGAATTCATTCCGAAGAAACCACCGGGCCCTAAACACATGACAAAAGCGTTCTCAACTCAAAGACTGAGTCACGTGCAACAGCAGAAAATGAGAATCACGCCAACTTCCCCGTTTAATCGTGTGGAGAAAATGTGGTCTAATGGACAGATTTACACTCTGAAAGGACAAGCCTGGGTGCAAATTCTAGCCCCTCGCTTATCAGCTACAAGAATTCCAACAAACGGTCTAACCTCTCGGAGCCTCAGTTTTGTCGCTGTGAAATGCAGGTGACAGGAGCCACTCAGAGGGAGGCCCAGCATGAAGGGGGACAAACCGTCCGTGTTGGAAGGGTTGGGGGGGGGGGGGAG